CATATACACTGATTTAATTATGGGGTGTAGGGGCTAACAAAATTGACTGCAAAATTCAAACTCTGAATTCCAAGTGTTTCAAATGGAATTCCAAACAGGAACAAACTTTCTGGGGTAGAAGAGATGCCTGTACAATTGATTATATGCTAGTGTCCCCAACTCCTATTAAACAAAATTGAATTTAAAATTTATTTTTAGTCTGATTGTGACAATTTTTCCATTTTAGCAAAATTCACTGATAATGCCTGGATCTACTGGCTTGAAAATAATTGCCCAGATGAAACTATTTTGGACAGGAATGCACAGATAAGAGGTCTAAGGAGATTCAGAGAGACTTTGCTCATTTTTTAGCCTTCTTATTGCCCCTCAGTTTAGATAATCTATTTGAGATGCAAGACACATGGGGGAAGTACCTTCTAACAACTGGTCAATACTATCTAGGATTTAATCCTGCATTACTGGCTAACTTTTTATATCAAAGTTTAAACCTATGACATTGTTTGATTATGACTGTGTCAAAGCTAAAACTGAAGCTAACAGGATCTTTAAAAATAATGATGGGAGGGTACTGTATTTACTTGGAGGGAATACAGTATTAAGTCCATGTTGAAAAAGAAAAAATAAGGCACAAAATGGCTAAGTGGAAAAAGCTAGCATAAGGTGTCTTGTGACCTATCTTCCCCTGAGACTGCACATGCATATATACTAGCCAAGGAGGCTAATCTTGTCCGATATATAGACAGAGCATTTTCAGGCTCTATTTACTGAGCATTTCTTTCAACTGAACGTATTTGTCTTAGCTATTGATTGTTTCCTAAGTCTACCTCTAATATATTCAAACTCATAGCATAGTTGAAGAACAGCCAAGCTACATGGGAGATTTGATCCCTGCAGAACTAGTAAAAGTCTGATTGGTGGGCTTCTGTATGGCCTACTTTATTTATCTATAATGATCCCTCTCTCCAAATATCAAAGAACTGCTGTAGATCAATAACTATTCCAAAATTTCAGAAAGGAGATAAGACTGATCTAGGCAATTTCAGGCCAATTAACCTTCTGAGCATTATTAGTATGCTATACACAAGGCATCTTTATGGAAAATTTCTTGACTGGTTGACCAAGAAAGCTTTTGGAAGCAGAACCACCAGTTTCAGAAATGAACACTCAACTTGCAGTCAGCACCAGAAATAATTCATCATTTCCCCCAAGAACTATAGATCTTTGAGGAAGACTTGGAGGTCTTTTAAAGAATTTTCAGGTGCAGTTCTTAAGATTCTTGAAGAAATAACATGGTAACTAAGTTAGTATAAACAAAATTAGTATCAATATATAATCATTTCTTACAAAAACCAACATAATGTTTTAAAGATTTTATTGTTGTTTTATCATAGGATCATCAGTTTTTAGGCAAAGCTGCTACACTCTCATAGAATACAACAGTTGAAGCTTTCCCCAAGCTGGAGGAAAAAAAAGGAAGAAAGAGAGGAAAAAAAGAAAGAATGAAAGGGAAAAAAAAGGAAAAAAAAAGAAAGAAAAAAAAGAAAGAAAAAAAAGAAAAAATCCATGCATTTCTGTCAGTTAAAGCACAACTGAACCAATAAAAAAGGCTAATAATACTTCTTATTTGATTGGTATCAAGTACAATAACTACATGTACTCTCCAGAATGTAAAGTTCATACTTACAATGGATTTTTTATTTTCTATATTGTGTTAATAACATTCATTCATGGAAGAAACAACTTGAAAGAAAATGTTACAAATTAGCATTTATATTGTGGACTAAGAGAGTATACACATATCTGAACCAGGTTTATCTAGCATCATCAAGTTCAGATAGTGTTTTCTAAGCTGATGTCCCAGGTTGGGAATTCTTAGAATCCTTCTAAATCCTCTGGAGGGCAATAGAATGAGAAAAACATTCTACCCAAGACCCAAGTGGAAGAACCTGACTTTGAAGAGTCTAAACACTTTAGATTAGAAATGCTTAAGGAATAAATATACTAGAAACAGAAAATTAACAATTCTGGGACAAAAGCTCTGCCCTTTCAGGGTATCACGTCATGCAATTATTAGCATAGGGAAGCATTCATAACTGGAGTCTCCCCCAGCCTAAACAGATGTAACTCATTCTTTCATTTTTCTATGCTGTCATTTCTTCTTTGCTTGTGCAAAGAGTCCTTCAAGTCTAGCTTGGCTCCTGACCAAATATGACTTTGTTGTTTTCTTGGCATCAATAAGGATGTGATTTGCTATTGCTTTCTTTTGGATAGTTTTTGAACTTACTAAACTAGCCGACACTTCTGGATTTCCTGATGGCCTCTGATTCAAGAGCTAAGCTGGCCCAGTCCTGCTTAGCTTTTCTTGAGATCAACCAAGGTTGGCTCTATGCTGCCACCTGCTAGGAAACAATGCATAGATGCTGCTAAATAGGTGCAGGCAGCTGCTTATGTACATGAGCCAGCAATGTACATAATGTTTTTACTGTGTGCTGCTTTGAGAGTGTTTGCTATACAGCAACTGAAATCCTTTAGAAATAAACCATCTAAAGCAACTCTACATCCATGTGAAAACAACAAGAATTTATAAAGCTCTCAATAATTCGTGCACAGCTAAGATTTCTGTGTAAGCATTATCTTGCATTTTGCATTCCTAAATCTGAATATAGGTGGAAAGGAAGCCAACCCCCCCCCCCCCCCGCACTGCCAAGGCTTTTAAATGCTCAATACACTGTAGAATCTTTGACAAGTAGGAATGGAAAAGCAAAGGAGAAAATTATAAAGTGGTCAAGGAGGAGGCAACCCCTTACTCCTCACTATAAATAATTGGCCATTCAAAGCTAGAGGGCATACACCTTAGAAAATAGGAATTTCTTTGAATTCTTTTCACTGCCTTTATATTCTCAAAACCGTATTTCCATTCTTGACAGTTTTATCCAAGCAGATCTTGGCAATGTTTGAGTGATTTATTTATCTCAATTCCTGGTGACAGCCACCACTTAAGTCCAAGAGTAATGCAGCAGGCAGTAGCAATTGCTTCCCAAGTATAAATGGACAAAGGTGCTTTTTGAAGGCCATGCCTCTCATTTGGCAGTCACTTCTCTTAGTGAACAAGAGAAGGCAGTCTACAGCTGAGAGGAAGACATAGAGCTGGACTGCAGTCTTGTCCACTTTGGTTACACAACTATGCTTATTCAAATATACATAATTTTATGGGGCACCCTTGCTACAGTGCTCCATATATATGCCTACAGTGCAACTATGCAACCTGATCCCTTACTCTGATCCAAATCCTCTGAAATTTTTAGATCCTCTCCAAGTATGCATTTTCAACAGCCATGTTTTACACTATGCTTTGTGTTTACTGTACTACCATGATTAACACACTGCCATGGCTAACACATTGCATTCTCCTATTTTGATTTATTCACTTATTTTCATGGGCCTTAAAAAATGAACTGGTGGTTTTTATTTTCCTCTTTAAAAAAGTTTAAACTATGACACATTACCTAACGTGGTGGAAGCCATGTTATGTTGCCAACTCCAGCAATCTTTTGTGGCTCAAAGCTTCTTTCTGCCTAATTCTGTATCCATGTTGTTGGACTGCTACATTCACCTTTCATCCTGAATTAACTGCAAATAACAATTATGCATGATACATAAGTAGGGGTAACTCTCAATTATGTTATTTTCTGGGGCATCACTGGACAACTTAACATAGAAATGGTATGCACAGATTTTCAGTTGAATGCTTTTGCAAACTTATACTCAGTGCAAACAATATCATATATGAATAGGAATCACCCCCTGAAGTAAGGTAAGGTCAGATTCAGCCACATGCTTTCTAGCAACATACACTTTAATCACTGACTGACCAGTACATAATGCAAGAATGCTGGTCCCAGTAGCAGTGGAAAGAAAAATGAAACAAATACAATGATTGAGAAGCAGATGTTGCTACATTTCCGGATATTCGATTCCAAATTCTGAGTTCCAGTGATTGAGAACCAATCCAGTGTTGAATTAAAAACGAATTTCTATTAAGAAGCAAGCAGGGGAGTGCAAACAGCAGACAAAAGGAAGAGCTAAATTGATTTTTGTACATTCCAGCTGTAGTCTGCTTGGTTTTTAAAGCGGGAGAGAGGGGGCGCGCACAAACACACGCACGCGCGCACACACACTCTCCCACGTTGCTTACTTGTTCTTTTTAATTCTAAATTGACCTGGGCTAAGTGGACATATAATTGAGAAAGACGGCGAAGTACAGAAGAGTTATCAAGCGTTTTAATTTCACCCCTGTGTCCCCAGTACTTAGCTCCGGAAAAGTGAACGGGGCCATCCGCGTCCTAACTATACCGACGAGAAAATCCCAGGGAGTGGAAGCGATTGGAGAGAGGGCGCCGGGAAGGAAAGGCGGGGGAACCAGCGGATAGGCGATTTTGCGACTGCTACCCAAGCAAGCACGAGCATTCACCAGCCAGGGTGCGCTGGCGCGAGGCGCGCCCTCTCCCTTCCTCGTTCTCTTTAATTCAGCTCCTCCCCCCGTGGTTGTGGCTTTCCCTTCCATCAAAAGCCCGATCAGCAACGCCAGTCTTTTGGTGGGGGGCGGGAATCCGAAAGAGAAAGAAAGAAAGAAAGAAAGAAAGAAAGAAAGAAAG